TTTAGTGTATATATATATATATATATGTACTTGGCTGAATGTGTTTTATTTTATTTTATTTTATATTATATATAGTTTTTAATATATTTTATTATTTCATTTAATTGTTTTTTTTTACGTTTTTTGCATACAATAAGATGGGGCTGTAATTTTCCAAAAATAAATACATATATACATCAGGCTTAAGCAATTAAATTATAAAATACATATTGTAGCATTTTCTGCATGGAGCAAAAAATATTTGTTATTTTATTTTATTTTAAGCTTTTGCATGCAATAAAGATGGGGAAGTGGTTTTCCAAAAATTACAAAATTAAAATAACTAAGTTGATTATTAATAACATTAAAATTATATATATATATATATATATATATATATATTTTTTATTTTTTATTTTTTTATTTTTTTTTCTGCCAAGTAATGTATGTAGCTCATTGGTCTAAATGTATGCTGTTTCCAAGCAATGTTGCAACTTATAATAATAGAATGTATGGTTCTATAAAAGGCATTAGGAAAATAATTTATTGTGGTATTAAAATAATTAAATCACATAATTTATTGTAATTTCTAAAAATTATTTTGTTAATTGGTCACACCTTGTTATGGCCCACCTTCATATAAATGCTCATCTTATAGCCTATAAAATAACAGCAGTAAAGCACTAAAGACGGATTTGGATTGTGCCAAGTACTTAGCAAAGATCTTAGTTCAGAAATGATGTATTTTGATGTTCTACTATTGGCCATGACAAATGTTAAATCATCTCATAACAGTTTTGATATGCATTATTTATGCTTTGCCCAGATGTCTTCTGTGGTCCAGCTGTATGTCTAGACCATTTATTAAGACTTGCACTTTTCAAAAGCACAAATGCACCAAGGTTTATCTGCCATCCCATTCCCCTGTTGTTTAGCCTAATCTGATCACTGGCGCCTGTGCCGTTCTACTATGTAATCCAATACTGTACCATTCTTGGTACCTCTAAAGATTTTCCAACAGACCTACAGTGAAGAATGCAAACCAACTCTAAACATTAACATTGAATGATGGTCTAGACAGAGGCCCGTCTTAATCTAGGAGCCAAATTAGGAGCGCTAATGAGCACATTGCTTGCCAGCGATAACCTTTCTGCTGAAAGAAGAAATGACAAAAATTGAGCTAAAGATATAGCAAATGTGCTTTCTTATAAACAAACCTTAATTAGGATCATGCACCCTCCTCAGCGTAGCTTCTATATGCCATTAAAGAGACCACCCATTGGGAATATTTATAGGAGGAGATTCACTGAGGCTTAGAATATGGCTGTTACGTATCTGAATAGCACATGATCCAACACCTGAACTGAGACATTCCAAACGTCACTTAGAAAGCTTCTCACAGCACCACATGCTTCCCGTTTAAGACATTCAAGGATTTTCAAACATTGATCTTATCTAGACTAAAGCAAACACGCCAAAAATATAAAGCAAATGTGTTGACTGACATTGTTGACTTTGCACACTTCTATTGACATGCACTGTAACATCTTTATTGCTAAACACACTTCTATTAATCAAAAAACCTAATCTAAATGAACACTGATTCAGTTTATCCCACAGTTAGGCTAAATATATATTTCATTATAATATAATCATCGCAATGCAATTTTAACTTTACACTGCCTCGCCAAGAAATTTAGACACTTAAGACACTCGAAAATGCCATTATTTTATCAGAGGTTTTAAAACATTTTGATCATTTGTCCATTTATACTGTAAAATAAAATTATAAAATAAAATAAAATAAAAAATGCAATAAAAAAAAAAATAATAATAATAATTTTTTTGAAAATATTTACTTGCTGTTGACACACTGTTTGATGTACTGTATAAACTTGACGAGAAACATAAAACTGGCAGCATCAGAATAACATAACTGTAATTAATGAAACAGTGATAATATTACATTTTTACACCTCTTTTACATTCATTAATTCGTTTGTTTGTTTGTGTGTTTAATTTAATTTAGTTAATTTACTTTTATTTTATTATATTTAATTTAATTTAATTTAATTATTTAATTATATTAAATTAAATTAAATTAAATTAAATTAAATTACAATTAAATAAATTTTATTTTATTTTATTTTACTTTATTTAATTTTATTTAATTTTATTTTATTTCCATGTGGACCCCAACACCCAGTAGCAAATAGTAAAAAAGGGTAGCAAACTTTTAAAATAATAAATAAATAATTAAATATACATTCCTTTCACACACACATAAAAAAACTAGTTTCTTAGGATTTAAATATAAAACAAAAGACATACTGTAAATTGTTTCCAAATTGATATCTGTGCAATGAAATTAATTAATCTTTAAGTGTGCAAAGATGAATTAATCTCTAAATTAGAAGCTCTTAAAGACAAATGATATTCCAAATGCCTATGTCTCAGTAGGGGGCTGTAATTTAATTTAATTTAATTTAATTTAATTTAAATTAAATTAAATTAAATTAAATTAAATTACAATTAAATACATTTTATTTTATTTTATTTTATTTTACTTTATTTAATTTAATTTAATTTTATTTTATTTCCATGTGGACCCCAACACCCAGTAGCAAATAGTAAAAAAGGGTAGCAAACTTTTAAAATAATAAATAAATAATTAAATATACATTCCTTTCACACACACATAAAAAAACTAGTTTCTTAGGATTTAAATATAAAACAAAAGACATACTGTAAATTGTTTCCAAATTGATATCTGTGCAATGAAATTAATTAATCTTTAAGTGTGCAAAGATTAATTAATCTCTAAATTAGAAGCTCTTAAAGACAAATGATATTCCAAATGCCTATGTCTCAGTAGGGGGCTGCTATTGGCCTCAGTTACTGTCCTGTTCAGGTGTGATGGCAGCCGTTGACAACAGTGAAGAAACTATGGTTGCCATGTTGCCAACCTAATCACTAATTCAGAGATATTATTCTGAAAGATTTACACATGTCTGGGACCAGCTCGGTCTACCTCACTCAAGCTCTTGATCAGTAGTAAAGAAACTGCACGAATGATGTCATGCAAGTTTGAATAAATATACAGTTAGCGAGGAAAGAGAGGCCACTAGTGTTCAATCCTCTGTGACTGACACTTGATGGAGTCAGAGAGGAAAGGTAAACACAGACCCTCCCCAAATTATTAGAGACCCGACCGAGCCCTTTCCTGATGCAATATCCCTGAATTTCAATTGTGTTTAGATAGTAAATAGCATCACTTCCTCTCTGTCAGCATTTCCAGACTTCATGTGTTACGTGTGTTCTGTGTAGAGGTGCATGGAAGAGGTGAATTATGGAATGGTCCATCCTTACCTCACCTCAGATAACCAGCCATCAAAGCCTCTTCAGCATGGAAACCTGAAGCCTGCACTGCCGTCATCTGAGTGATCAAGCATCAGGTTCTTTCTCTCTCTCAATCCATCTGATCCTCTGGAATACCAGCCAGTGTCAGGTCTCATAGTGTTAATATGAAAACCATTCCACCCAACCCTCCCAGAGCTTTGATTCATAATAAAAGCACAGCAGTTTATCCATCAATATCCATTTTGCATGTGACAGTTTGAATCTGACACTCCTGTCAATTCTCAATGCAAATAGTTTCTGATGACCCAACAGCATAAGAATCAGTGAACGCAGCTCACAGCAGTCAAATGCCATCAAAGAACCATAAAAAATACTCCATATGACTCACTATAATTTGGAAATCATGTGACCGCATTAGAGAAAAATACTGTAATATATGTTTTGTTTTGTTTAGTTTTTCCCTTTCATTACATTTTCCCTACACTACACTACTGGCATGTTGTCACACCATTTTCAAACCTTCTCTGATCAAATTTTTGAACCGATCTTTGTTAAAATGTATAATTACTTAAAACATTTAATCTTAAATGGGCTGTTCTTACAGAACTCATTTTTGCAATTCGCTGCTCTGCTTTTACATCGGTTTTCCATGTAAACCACATGCGTTTTGAATCTTTTGCAACGTAAAGTTTTTTTTTAATAACTCTTAAATATGTGGCTCGAGACACAAGCTGTGTCATGGGAACAAACCAGCAAGGTCTCAAGGCATGTTTTTTAAAAGTTCAACTTATTTTAACTTGAGTGGCATGTTATTACAATACAAAACACAAAAAAACTGTGCAAACAGGGCAGTGGAATGGAAAAAAAATTGCAGATGTGTTTTTTTTTAAACTTATTTTAACTTGAACGTAATGTTTTTAAAACAATATGTTATGAGCGAGACACTGCAAAAGACGCATGACGGTCAAACACGTCCGTCAAAAGCAAGACACAGGACAGCGGAATACAAAAAAAAATTGCAGATGATACTGATTTTAACATGAGAGCCATGTTTTTACAATGCTAGGCCATGCACGAGATGCTGCAAAAACATAAGACAGTCAAACATGTTTGTCTAGCTTGTGTTTGCATAGAAACTCGAAAGCAGTGCAAAATGCAAGACAAAGGGCAGATGCAGATCCATTTTTTTTTAAAGTTGAACTTTATTTTATGTTTTTAGAAAGTTTTATCATGGAAGACATATGAGAGATGAGCTCAATGGTCAAAGACGTCTATCTAGTGCATGTTTACATAAAAGAACTAATGGAATAGCATGCAAAAACGTGTTCTGCGTGAACGGCCGTCAAGAGTGCATTTTGCACAAAACATGGCTGCAATTCAATCTGTGTTTCACTCTACAGTTTGAAAACCTATACTCAGAATACTCTTTGCAAGACTCCATAGCGTTCGTAAAATGGGTTTGTCCTCTCACGTATTCGAGGCATGCAGTAGTACACCGCAGACCCTCCAGACGCACGGTACTAGGGTAAATATAGGGTACTCTAAAGTTACACTCACGTTCTAGGCTGAAGCCTATGGGCACTGGGGAGGTGTTTGCTGTTTGGAGGGCAATGGACGTCAACCGTGGGTTTGTTCTCCATGCCTTTACAGGGCATATTCAACATGGGGAGAAGCAATGACATGAGGTCTGATGTGTTTGTGTGTGTGTACGTCAGAATGTGTGTCGAGTGATACAGTAGATCGCTGGCACAACGCCCTTTAAATCTCAGCTTACCCTGTTGACATAGAAACCGACGGTTGTGATATTAGACCACTTGGTGAGAAGCTGCGGTTCAGCAGCAAAATCTAAAACTGCACTTTTTCTTTATGTTGTGGTTAGTAAATTTAAGAAGCCTGCTTTCAACTTAAAGTAAATCCTAATTAAAATAAGTAAAGAAGTCACGTTGTGAGATATAAAATCAACATGTGAAGTTGCAATTATTAGAAATAAATTCACAATTGTCTTGCTTTTTTCTACACTTAGATGGAAACAGTTTTCCACATTACAAAGACTAGATTCGTCAAATGTCCACATTAAAATAATAATAATAATAATAATAATAATAATAATAATAAAAGAGTGACTATTCTTTCCCTATTGCAGGCTGTTGGCCGGATTCCCTAACAGGGAATTCATGCAGTGTTATTTTAGTAAAGACACAGACATCAGGGAGAAAAGCACAGCGGGATAACAGAGAGGGGCTCTGGTTGGGGAGGCTCACATTGAGAAACTCTGATCTGCTGGTAAAGAGAGCAACAGGAAGGGAACAAAAGTCCAAAACATTGCATTACAAAGCTGAGGCTGATATTTAAGCAGCTATGCTACAAAAAACAAAACTTTTTTCTTAATAAAAAAAGAGACAAAAATACTGATTAAGAAAATTATTTAGCAGTTTATGATTTAAAAGTATATTCATAAATTCATTTTATTGTATGGTGATAGTATAGCTTTTATTGTATGTGTGCAATGTACAAGCAACTTCCCAACAATGTGAGCACAGTTGCACTTTGGAAAACACATCAGTGAAACACAAACAAGTATTCAATATTTAAATATTTACTGTATATATAAATAGCTAATGTAATTTAATTTAATTATTATTAATTATTTAAAAATCTGATATTACCATTATAAACCACCACTAGACCAGTAGTAAAATAATAATAATAATAAAAACATTTAAAATTATTTTATGAATTTGTCCATGCAAAATCTAAGAATTTATCAATATATTAATTTAAATTTAATGGTATAGTTTTTAATGTAGCAACGTACAAACATAATCCCACAAAAAGTGTCTGTGGTTTTTATTCTATCCTCCTTCCACAGTAAGACAAGCCCACATGTTGCATTCCAGTCTATGAAGAATGACTTTGAGACTTAGCGGCAAAGCGATTTTCCTTTTGCATTAGTCAATACATGTCAACACCCTCTTCAGAACTGAGAGACACAAGCCCAGCCGGGATAAACGCACGACACCCAGCCTCAGTCCTGGGCACATATGTACATCTCTTAGCCTGGGCTCTAACAAGACACACTGATGATTATACTGTGTTAAATAGCCCAGTGTGCTCTCTTCCTGTTGAATGAATCATTGATAAGGCGGCTGTAACCCGTCCTCATGGAGGGGGAGTGAAGGTATTGGGGGCCATGCAATAATTTGAAGGTGTCCTCTCACCTAACTCACTGATTCATAGCTCAGATTCCCTCCATTATGGAAGATGAAATCTGTGTGTATGCACATTTTATAAATGAGGCCCCTGATGTTTAGTATTAATATGATCTATCCTACTTCCTCCTTGCCACTTCACTTTGACTGGACAGGACCCAAAATAAATTGCCTGCTTGTTTATGCCCTAAAGATGTAGACAGGAAGCTCTAAACACTAGAGTCTGTTATTAAGGAGGTTAATGAAGAACATGAAGAAGCTTTGTCAGCTGTCCATAATGTTTAAGTTCTTGACGGCTGTTATCAGAGGCATGAGGTAACCAATAAAGAACCATCATTCATGATGCTGATTGGTCAAAATGAGATTGCATCAAATCGTGTTGGTGAGGGAGTGTGTGTCTCCGTAACTAGTTACTTGATCCTGCAGTTTTTATGACCATTATGTATTCATATGGATGATATGGGCTGTAATGATAACTATGAAGCCCTTTCAAATCCTTCACACACCAGTCAGTTGTATGCAATTTTGAGCATTAAGTAATCACAAATGCACAAATAATGAATAAAATATATTAAAAATAAAATAAAATAAAATACAAATCTGCTTAATTTGTATTGTTTACTCCGAGGGGTTTGATTACTGCTCTTCCCGTTCTGTCCTGGCATGGTTGTGTGGATGGGTGGGAATTTTGCCCAGAACAAAACCATACCAGCCTAATTTCAGATTAAAGTGCTTTAGACTGTCAATTATGATATATACAGTAGAAGTAAGTGTACTTGACTGGACCTTTTTAATGTTGAGAAGGGTCAAGAAGTCAGACACAAAGAATAACTGACTTTGTCACTTTTTCAATCAACTCTCTTTCTCTTTTTTGCCTCCTTGCTTCCACTTTCAGACCCTTCAGGAAATCATCCAGACCGAGATGCTGATTGAAGCTTTAAAAAAGGCAATCCGAGACAAAGAGAACCCACTTAAAGTTGCCCAGACCCGCCTGGAAGAGAGGTCTCGCAGACCCAACGTCGAACTCTGCAGAGACAATCCTCATCACAGGTAATTGCCCTAAATATCTGTCAAGAAACAGTTTGGATACAAACACTGTTTTGCTTACAAAATTAGATCTAGATGCAAAAATCAGATGCCAAACCTCTGTTTTCCTTGTTTTACTCGCTCTCTCTTTCTCAGGCTGGTTACAGAGGTGAGGGAGATTGAAGACACCATTCATAAACTGAGAGAGAGTCTGATGGAGGCCGAGAACACTCTCCAGACCCTGGTGAAGACCAAAGTTGCTCTGGAGCATGACCTGTCAATCAAAGCCAACTCTCTGTTCCTGGATCAGGAGAAGTGCATGGGCACGAGGAAGAGCTTTCCCAGCACTCCTCGTCTGGTCGGATACACCTAGATCTCCCAGAATCTTCTCCAAAAGCTGCATAACTATTAACCTAAATCCAAACTTGAATGTTTAAAAGAGAAACTACAAGATTAGCATCAGAACAGCTTTCTTCTTAGTCCTTTTAATTAAGTGGACTGACATCTTACACCTCACTTTTATTGTTTCACTGAGTTAAGCACACTGTGATGATTAGAATTGATTGTCTCTTGCCCTTTGACTGTCCTGATTAAAAAAAAATCAATAATACCTGAACTGCTAGATAGATCCTTTTAAAAAATGATTTACCAAATGGCAAAGGTTCATCATGTATACTATCTATCTATCTATCTATCTATCTATCTATCTATCTATCTATCTATCTATCTATCTATCTATCTATCTATCTATCTATCTATCTATCTATCTATCTATCTATCTATCTATCTCCGTTTATCAGTGATCTTAAGAGCTCCAGACAGCTGTTGAACTGAGATTGTAAACAGGTTTGTTTTTTGCTCAGGTGTGACATGATTCTGACAGTTTGCAGACAGTGGACAGAGCACCTTGCTTTTGTTTGTTTAGTTCAGAGGTCCACTCGAGGGCTGTCACTGATAAAGTGATCTTCACTCCATACTTCCCTGAGTACACCAAACCACAGTGGAGCTGTAGTTCTCATGTTCTTCTGAAGTACAAACACACACTTCAGAAACAGATGCCACCGGCAACAAGACTCACGGTTAAGTATACACACAGCATCTGGGTTTATTGATTCAGAGGGGGAACGTGTTTGCTCCTATAAACAACACACTGGTGTTCTGCTCAAACACACACTTCAAACTCGTTACATAAATCAAAGTATGCTCTGTAGGCTGAATGCTTAACAGTACAAGATGCACTTGAGATCGTGTTGGTGCATCCCTAAGAACAATGAGTTGTGTGCATTCTGACAGCATGTTTATGCAAATATATACATATAGAGGAAATAGATGTGATCTTTTATATCTCAGAAGACATAATTAAGACTTATTTGGTCTCAGATTTTTTGCCTAAAATTGCATTAGGAAATGTAGGAAATATACTGCAAAAATAAGCACATGAGACAATTGCTGTAATACAGAAAGAGTAGATAGAGTTGATAATTGGATAGTATAGCTCAGATTTTTATCTGACTTTTGAGCGCAGTCTGGTAAATTTGAGAAGCATAATTAAAAAAAAATACTTTTTTTCATGTCTGAAACACACACACACACACACACACACACACATGCAGCCTAAGCATGTAGTTATTAACCACAAGTGACTAGTCTACACATTCCAAAGCAAACTTAAAAAGATAAGAAAATCAGCATTTAAAAAATCCCTAAGAACAATGAGTTGTGTGCATTCTGACAGCATGTTTATGCAAATATATACATATAGAGGAAATAGATGTGATCTTTTATATCTCAGAAGACATAATTAAGACTTATTTGGTCTCAGATTTTTTGCCTAAAATTGCATTAGGAAATGTAGGAAATATACTGCAAAAATAAGCACATGAGACAATTGCTGTAATACAGAAAGAGTAGATAGAGTTGATAATTGGATAGTATAGCTCAGATTTTTATCTGACTTTTGAGCGCAGTCTGGTAAATTTGAGAAGCATAATTAAAAAAAAATACTTTTTTTCATGTCTGAAACACACACACACACACACACACACACACACATGCAGCCTAAGCATGTAGTTATTAACCACAAGTGACTAGTCTACACATTCCAAAGCAAACTTAAAAAGATAAGAAAATCAGCATTTAAAAAAAAATCTGAATGATCATGTGACACTTAAAACTGGAGTAATGGCTGCTGAAAATTAAGCTTTGCCATCACAGGAATAAATTACACTTTTACATATAATACACATTTTGAACAGTAGTGTAGTTGCACTTAAGTCACTCCTAAGTAACTGACAATAAAGCAACAGCTTCTCTTGAGTAATTCTGTGCAGATGCCTTGCTCAGGAACACTGTCAACTCTGAATCTCCAATCTTCTGTTTTCAAATAACATTTAACACCACACCACATCAGTTCTCCTGTTCAGTGACTGACAGACTGTTCACTTGTCATGTCTGTTGTCAAGGAAAGCAATGCACCAAGTAAATAATTGAAGTCCCTGTTCTCTGTTCTTTTCAGATTTCTTATCATGGCTTCATGCCTATCTCGAGTACACAGTGGTCCTCAGAGTCTCGGATGTTTGCTACAGTAGTCAGACAGGAGCAGTATTGATTTCAGCATGTCTGAGTATAGTACTTGAGAGCTTCATTCCAGATACCCAACCCTGACCTTTGAAATATTGCAGGAATGTGTTGCTTAAGACAAATATGACTCGGTTTGATCAGATTCTGGAGGCCTTATAATGTATGTGATTTACTGCTGAAGGGATTGGCCTTTTTCTTACAGATAATATTTGCATTTCAGGATTTGTAGGATCTCCATGCAGAATTATGAGAAGGTCGTAAAGCCTGCTGACCAGTTTTCACTGTCATCTTGGCTTCTTCACCATCTTATTTTCACATCTGAAGTGCTTTTCTCAAAGAAAACATACAGACAAAACATTTGAGTGGGCCCTGCCAGCCCACGAGAGTCATCCGGTGGCCAGCTGTGCCTGAAATTTAAGTTGGATCCCACGGTTTTCTTCTCATTGAGTTTTACACACAGACCACCACTTTAGACCATGATATCTGCCAACAGTACAGTGTAGTCATATTCATGTAACAGTTTGAATCTCAGTGTGGTCCAAACACAGCTGGGCACTGGCGAAATGGTGCAATTTTTCCAGGTCAATAAAAATACAATGGGAGTGTGTGTAACTTTTAGCTATTCAAAGTCAAACTGAGGCTAAAGTTGCTCTTCATGACTCTGAATCCGATTCAAATTCCACTCATCATGATTCTGATTCAGTAGTTCTTTAAAGTCCCCATGAAATCAAAATGAAAGTTTTTTGGGTGTTAGTATCAATATGTTAGTCTTAAGGTTATCTACATATTCATGTAACAGTTTGAATCTCAGTGTGGTCCAAACACAGCTGGGCACTGGCGAAATGGTGCAATTTTTCCAGGTCAATAAAAATACAATGGGAGTGTGTGTAACTTTTAGCTATTCAAAGTCAAACTGAGGCTAAAGTTGCTCTTCATGACTCTGAATCCGATTCAAATTCCACTCATCATGATTCTGATTCAGTAGTTCTTTAAAGTCCCCATGAAATCAAAATGAAAGTTTTTTGGGTGTTAGTATCAATATGTTAGTCTTAAGGTTATCTATAAGGCAGTGTGCTCCAAAACAGTGACAAAATTCGCACTTAGAAGTTATAAGCATTCAAACTTGCAGTTCCTCACTTCCGCCAGAACGGCTCAATGATTTTTTTGACGTCACATCGTACTTCAGCGTCACATCAAACTTTCTGTCCAATCAAATGCTCTCTAGAATCTGAAGTGCCCGCCCCCAACACTATAAAATAGACGCTGAAGCCGCGGCTGAAATCGGTCATTTGTCCACAGAATTAGTATTTTCTGTACAGTGAATGGCACGTAGTGCACTATATAGGGGACAGGGAACGATTCAAACAGTGTAAATATGCTTTCCATTGAGGAAAAGAAGAAGTCTGGTTTTGCGCTGTGTCACGCTAACCACCGCACACACACTCTGCTCCGGTCCAGAGACACGATAGCACCGAGCGGATCACATGCGCGAGTCGACGCAGACCATAAAATGTATCTGAGCTATTTGAATTCTACACAGCATGCTATATTTTATAGCAATATGGATGAGATTGTGGCTGGCATACTCTGTCAAATGCGGCTTTACGGAGCTCAACGGCTCTGAACGACTCTAGCCCAAGCTGTGATATAAACTAACGCTATTGGCTATTTTAAAAAGGGGCGGGGCTGCTTGATATCCCCCGCCCTGTCTTTCTGTTTCAGTTAAAATGACGTCAACACATAGAGTAACGCTGCGTGTTTCTAAGCATTTCAGGAGACCTTTAAGCACTTTTTAGGGACTGTTTTGTAGGTCTTTTTGACTGAATTATTAAAAATAACTGGCTCATAAGTGTCATTTGTTTGTGAATCAAGATAATATAACAATGTGTCAAATTTTACAAAAGTTAGTTCTGGTAATTGAAACTGATTAGCTGAGCAGAATCGGTGATATCAATCAGTAGTGGGTCTTTTATGCGTAGGTGGTGACTAATGACTGTATTATGAGTGAGTCATTAAATCAATCACTGAAGCAATTCGTTCAAAGACTGATTTATTTTTGGAATGAAAGAGACTTATTAATGAAGCATTTAGTCATTTACTTAAAGGTCTCCTGAAATGCTTAGAAACACGCAGCGTTACTCTATGTGTTGACGTCATTTTAACTGAAACAGGAAGACAGGGCGGGGCATATCAAGCAACCCCGCCCCTTTTTAAAATAGCCAATAGAGTTCGTTTATATCACAGCTTGGACTAGAGCCGTTCAGAGCCGTTGAGCTCCGTAAAGCCGTATTTGACAGGGTATGCCAGCCACAATCTCTTCCATATTGCTATAAAATATAGCATGCTGTGTAGAATTCAAATAGCTCCGATACATTTTATGGTCTGCGTCGACTGGCGCATGTGATCCGCTCGGTGCTATCGTGTCTCTGGACCAGAGCAGAGTGTGTGTGCAGTGGTTAGCGTGACACAGCCCGAAACCAGACTTCTTTTTTTCCTCAATGGAAAGCATATTTACACTGTTTGAATCGTTCCCTGCCCCCTATATAGTGCACTACATGCCGTTCACTGTACAGAAAATTATAATTATGTGGGCAAGTGACCGATTTCAGCCGCGGCTTCAGCATCTAATTTATAGTGGGGGGGGGACACTTCGGATTCTAGAGAGCATTTGATTGGACAGAAAGTTTGATGAGAAGATGTGACTTCAAAAGAAATCCGTTTTGGCGGAAGTGAGGAACTGCAAGCTTAGAATGCTTATATCTTCTAAATGCGAATTTTGTCACTGTTTTGGAGCACACTGCCTTATGGATAACCTTAAGACTAACATATTGATACTATAACACCCAAAAAAACTTTAATTTTGATTTCATGGGGACTTTAAGCGATCTGTTCAAAAACACTGATTCATTTAGGAATGTAAGAGACTTGTG